TCAGAATCTGCACCCTGCAGGGAGTGCAAACAAAAGGATGAGACCATTGAACATATCCTCTACGATTACCAGTCGCTCTCATTTATTGGAAGATTTGTTTTCGACGAGTATTGGTTAACACCGGCCGATATAAGAGAAGTACCTCTTAGCAATGTTGTCAACAACATTAAATATGTAGGCTGCCTCACGAGCTAGGAGGTGCCTATCATTTTAGGAGGATACACAATGGGCCTAGTGAGGCCTTAGTGCCGTGGGTAACCCTCCCTCTACCCGTTACATATCAAGAAGTACTATAGATATAGCTGTAAATGCATTTTGATTGCATCCTGATAGCTTGGTTCCTCGAAGTGAGTTTGTCATATATTTTAATTATTGTTTATTTACTGTTTTAATTCGAATGGTTTGAAAAACAAAAAAAAATATATTTAAACAAAAGACTAAGAAATTAAACGTAGGCGTAAATTATCAATATAGGTAATACTGATTTAGAAATTATAAAAAAAAACATTGACAGCCAGATGCAAAAACGTTCAATAAAATTTACGAATAACGAAATTTTTTTTTCTTGTAATACAAATTTTAAAACTATCTAATTTCTAATTACTATTAGTTAAATACTACTACTTAACTATATTGCAATTTTCACAAAACGCTAATAATAATAATAATAATAATAATATACCAAACGTTGCTCTACATAAATTGACAGTTATATTTGACGTTAAACCACCTCTAAAACACTGAGAAAACTTGGCAGTTTTTTTTCCACGAATCGCCCATTTAGTTTCGCTTCTTGGGTAGGTATTCTTTGGCCGCAACGTTGCCAATCAGGTATAACAGCTATTTTGTATTTCTGACAGTTTCTGTGTGACTTATTGATTTATTCATTTGTAAAATACTATTTTTGTGAACTTTTGTGAGAAATATAAAGAATTATGGTACATGCATGTGTAGTGTTCAAAAAGGTAGATAGATCATTTAAGTCGAAATGTATGGTTCCATCGGTAAGTATTTTTAGGTTAAGGTATGTTGTTTTCATTTGAACCAGTGGAGTAGGGCTTGTACAAGATTTGATACAATTTCTTATAGAATTTAAATTATATAGGATCACATAGTAAATTGTTTGAAAAATGATTATCCAATCTAATTTTTCAGACAATTTACTGCAGGTTTGATAATATACAATTTAAATTATACAAGAAATTGTACCAAAAACTTGTGTAGTCTAAAACAGTTTTTAAAGTGATATTGCTTTTATAAATTAGTAAATTTTTCTTATACCAATAAATAAATATTGAATAGTAGCAAAGAAAATTTAACGTAAAATGTAGAATACCTTAAAAATGATTTACCTATTGAGCACCTATACATATTTTTTATAACTCTATTTAGGTTTCCGCAAGATCCTGAGAAAAGAAAACTTTGGTTTTCTCTAATAGGAATCCTTGAAAATCAGCCCTTTCGAAAAAAGCCAGAGTTGTGTTTAGAACACTGTTTTCCTGAAAATGTTTTGATACGTGCAAATGGTACTAAGGCATTGTGCAAGGCATCCATTAAACAATGGATGCGAAAAGAGTCTCAGGAATGGTGGAACAACTATCCAAGACTGAGACAGGCCAAACAGTTTATCAAGGAACCATCGGCCAAGTTCACGAAAGACCTACTGGATCAAAAGCGTCAAATCGTTAGGATAACAGTAGGCCTTCTTACTGGACAATGTCGCCTCAAAATGCACATGAGTGTCATAAATGTAGCAGAAGAAGCAACTTTGTGCAGGTTCTGTGAAGAAGAAGAGGAAACAATATTCCACGTCCTGTGCCAATGTGAATGCCTGGCTGGAACGAGGTTTCTAAAAGTGGGCGAAGAAAAGCCAATTGCATGCAACTACATGCGGGAGCCACTGTCAAAGCTACTGAGACTAATTAAAAAGACCAGGCTAGACGACATATTCTAAAACAAACAGGAGTCCCACAATAGATCTGAAAAGGTCGCGGTGGACAAGGACAAATAACGTCCAACTCATAATCTAATCTACCTACATGAAAAAATCATCATAATTATATTACTAAAAAAATATACCTACATATTTACGTATTTTTTTAACATACTACTCTAACAATACTGGTAAGTTTAAAACTCTACGCCACTGGCAAGCATATTATGGACATTGTTTACAACGTTGCCAGCCGGTCATAAGAGATCTGTCTTTCTCTCTTCCACTCACTAACAATTTTAAAACAATAACAGTCCGCAATTGTATGGGATTTATGAATGAAACATTTTGTCTATATGTTGTAATGTCTTTGCAGTAGACTTTAGTTTGTTTTTCTGTGCCGTACAAAAATATAATTTCTAGAAAAAGAGTTTGGTGTATTATTTTTCCAAGTTTAAATATTTAATAATCAATAGAATTTTCAAGTTTTTTCTAGCGAAATTTACAAGAGTAATAAAAACTATGTTCACTGCTTATATTAAACTGATTAAAACTTCCTTTATTAAAATGATTATTTATATGATTAAAAATTTTGATGTTATTGGAAGCTTTTTTATTTTTTAATATTAATAATACTTTCCCTAATACCCCCTTACGAGTGAATGTTAACCCCAAAAGCTGAACTTGTGCGGAGAAAGGGACGGCTATTATTATTTGCCGTGACTTACAGGTGAGGAAAACCTAACCCACCATCATCGAGACGGTAATGCATGGCGATTTTTATAATCTGCATGTCATATCAACAGAAATTGAATATCTATTAATACGGCACACATCAAATCCTATACCGAACCATGCAATTTAATTACAAATCCACATGGTCTGGTCTAGGACTCGAAGCCCGGCAGTCTCTGACCATAAACTTGCCTATAAATGAATATGAGCTCGTTAGACTGCTACACCACCGACCCGATAATATACAGTGAAACAATAGTTTTTGTTTCTCCTGTAAATTTGTATAGAAAAACTATTTCTGAATCTATGTTTGAATTTTCTGCCCTAAAGCATTTTTAATTTTCCCGCTATTTACTAGTGGCGCCATCATAGACTGGTTGTGGTTACAATCGCCCAAACAATTTTTACCGAACAAAAAAATACATTGAGTTACACGTCTCGCTGTGTTGTCTCTGTTGTGGATAATACAAAATCTAAGCCTATGAATTGTGATACTCGATCATATTTGTTTTTTTTTGTACCATTGCTTTACACGATCTATACATTTCCTTTACAAAACTTAATTATGTGTGCAAAAGATGCCATAGTTTTAATAAGTGAAAAATATACAGTATGGTTCAAATGAAAGGAATAAATTCATTATAATGGAAGTAGTTGGTTTTTCGAAAAAATGCTCGGACAGGTCAATTTTGTTTACTCAAAGCGCAATTTTTTAAATAGAATTCAATTTTCCCCCACTTTCCATTTTTGGGCAGTGACGTCATTGACAATTTTTTTAAATAGTAACCACAATTTTTTTTCTTGATATTGATAGATCTTGCAATTTCCTACTCGGAAACATAATATTTGCAATATCTGACATAACAATTTTTTTTGAATAAAAATCATTTAAAGATCAGATACATAAATTTTATTTTATTTTGGAACACAATAAATGAATAAAAGATTATTTGTAATTAAGTGCTTCATCTAAAATAATAATAAAAAGAATTTAATGACGATTTCACAAATTCTTTTTTAATATTATTATTAATATTATTATTAATATTATTATTATTATTATTATTATTATTATTATTTTGTTAGATTAAGCACTTAATTACAAATAATTATCTTTTATTCATTTATTGTGTTCTCAAAATAAAATAAAATTTATGTGTCTGATCTTTAAATGACTTTTATTCAAAAAAAATTGTTATGTAAGATATTTCAAATATTATGTTTCCGAGTAGGAAATTGCAAGATCTAACAAAATCAAGAAAAAAAAAATGGGGGTTACTATTTAAAAAAATTGTCCATGACGTCACTGCCCAAAAATGGGAAGTGGAGGAAAATTAAATTCTATTTAAAAAATTGCGCTTTGAGTAAACAAAATTGACCTGTCCAAGCATTTTTTCGAAAAACCAACTACTTCCATTATAATGAATTTATTCCTTTCATTTGAACCATACTGTATAAACTTGCTGACTTGGCAAGTAGAACACATACCTGCTTTAACAAAAATAATTCAATCTGAATCATAGCAAGTTTGTTTTTATAACATTTAGTTATGTAAATAAATCATCTTTCTAAACTATAGTTTAGCTATTAAATGATTTACAGAATAGATGAAACATATTAATACTATAAATTTTTAAAAATTATGTCACATTGATTCTCTGTGTAAAAAGGAATATTTGCCATTGTATTTATCAACTAATAAGATGCTGTAATATGATGAGACTACTTTACAGTTTAATTCCTTTATATCAAAATATTGAGTCATTGCTTAGGAAATATCAGAGATGAAATTTGTTTTTAAAAAATGGACCACTGAGAAAAATTTCATGAATAAAGGAAGAAGTAAAACACAAGTCTTTGCCACAATAAAATAATTTTAAACAGCACCTTTCAGACAAAATGTAATGGGGTTGTTTTAAATGATTGGTTTCTATTTAAGATTATAAATTTTCAATAGTAAGACAACTTAAGTTAAACTTTATCTTTAATTTGGCAAAAAATTAGATTTTTAAATACTAATATATTCGGAAATCAGTCAATTTCACATACGGTTTTTATACACCGTCCTTAAACATGTTTTCTTCCTAATGTACTTCTATTCTGTAATTGAGTTAAAACCTGTTGAACAGTATATTCATAAATAAATCTAAAAAAACTGATAATTGTTTGCCTCAAAACATGCTACTCTGTGGTCGATTTTTTGAATGTTTTTTAATATCAATCGACTAAATGTTTCAAGTTGATTGTGAGAATTGTAGTCTGTAATTATTGACATAGTTCATATCATGTATTTATGATCACAGGAACCAATAAAGTAATATATTTTTTTTAGAATTCAGTTGAATTCCGAGGAACAGTGGACCAAAGCCTTGAAATTCATGCTGACAAATCTAAAATGGGGTTTGGCATGGGTCTCTTCTCAGTTCAACAGCGATGGAGAAGAGATTCAATCTGACAATTAGAGTTAATTTAGTGTATTTAAATTTTACTGAATGTTATATATTTAGGAATGAATTTTCATCAGAATGTAATATGATAAGATTATTTAAAATATAAAAATATTTTTGTTATATATAAGAGATTGTCTCCTGTACATAATTTAGTGTAAGTCTTATATATGATTGTTAATTTTTCAATTTTAATAAATTTATTTCAAATTTTTTCATTAAAGATTATTTTTATTAATTTATTTTTTATTGATTGACCTCCCTCGTACGGTGCGGGGTACAGATAAACCTCATCAGAATAGACACAGGCTAAACCTCGCACATGATAATTGTACAAAACTGTTACTTTTTTGTGCAAATACAGTGCAACCTCGATAATCCGAACGCAAATCGTGATGCGAGATAGTCCGAACGCCGCCTCTATAATCCGAACGCTGATAGGAAAAGACCTGCAGCGCGGCCCGCGTCGCCCATATGTAGTTTGATAATGCATTTAAATGTACAAAAATCAATATACATAGATCTAAAGGTCTAAAAATGTGTAAGAGGTGTTTTATTGTATATTCGTTAATCCAAACAATTCGATAATCCGAACAAGGTCTGACAATTAGATGTTCGGATTAAAGAGGTTGCACTGTAAAATTTAAATTTTTTGATTGGCCGATTTAATTTATTGTTAATTAGCAGCTTTTTAATATATTTTCCAGTGATTTACTAAAATACATCATACTTATTTTTATTAAAAAAATAATAAAACGCGACATGTCCACTGAGATTTGAGTGTTACTTTTTAGTCACATTTTGTGTAGACTTTACACATCTTGGAAAATACAAATGCAGTAGAACATCAGATAGTAGAGCAGCATACTCCCAGGTACTGTTATTTATGCGATTGGAAAAAGATAGAAAATGCAGACAAATGTGCTAAAACAGTGCAATAGTTTTGTGCTTTGCACTCTAAAAACAAATTATGTGAAAAGTGTCAGAATAATAAAAAATAGACTTTATTCATTTTAATATTATTGTAATATTATTACCATTATTCCATAATATTTTCTGTTAAATATATTTTATATTGATTTATTGTTTTTTCAAAATAAACAATAATATAGTAAAATTACAAAGGCAAAAAACTGCATTTATACTTAGGGTATTGTAACCTACCACACCCAGGTACCTTAATAATTTATTAATTCCATTTATTAAAAATATTGCATTCTTATTAAATTCAAAATCCTTCATTTAACGGAAAATCTGGGAACCTAGACCATAAAACATTTCTTTTCACGAAGTAATCATCATTAAACACTTAACTCGCTTGTCTTTCTAGTTTCAATGTAAAGATCGATTTCGACAATATTTCGATACACAAAGCTCTTAAGGCACATAATAAATCAGCCACCCTCTTCGTATTTCGCTGGGAACTAAAGACATAGAGACGTCACAAAAAGCCATTAAAATTTAGTATAAGAAGCCAGACCCAAATGAGCACGGATTCATCCATTTTTTATTATTTGATGTGCAAATATTCATTTATTATTTGCATCCAGTTATATTTCAAGTTCAGTAGTCAGTACCTTTCCTAAAACGTTCTTCCTAAACAACGTCTATCATACAATATCTCCTATTCCCCGAACGCTGTCAACGTCCCATTCCTATTTCCCGACGCTTTCCGTCCTTAAATATTTCCTTCATAATATCGTTGTCGACACCCTTCGTCACGCCCCGCACCATCTAAATATTTCTACCGTATCTTTGTCCCAATGCAGTACCGTATTAAATACCTTCCTATCCACCACAACGCTGCGACGTACCTAAATCGACGCTGTCACAACGCTAGATGAAATTAGAACATAATCTAATGTCTGTATTTTCAATGGCGAGTCAAAAGATTCATATAACTTTCTTTGCGATACCACCGGGGTTTCGTTTAAACGAGTGCTTGACATTTGCTATAAAATATCAATTTAACCAATAAACCACATGCCCTTCAGGTCATACACCTCGAAAGACAGTTAGGAGAGATATCTGTTTCGATCGGTGAATTTTTGAGTATTTTAATAGAAATTATAAAAATCAATATTAAGAAATATACAGGGTTGTATTAAATAATTTCAATAGAAATTATAATATTAAAAAATATACAGGGTTGTATTAAGTTATTTCAATAGAAATTATAAAAATCAATATTTTAGAAATATACAAGGATGTGCTATCTTGGATAAATTATACAAACCAAGATGGTAAAATTTAATAGTAAGTTGCACCAAACTTTGTATCGAATTCTGGTTTACCTTAATTAACATCACAACGTGGGTATATAAATTATCAATTAATTAACTAGACGATCACTTCTACTATTTGAGGCAAAAGGCCAAATACAGTATAGAATTTAAAGTAAAATAAACTTGTGAGGTAAATAATTTCAGAGAGTAAAATAACAAACAAAATGGTGGTACCGGGGGTGGGCAGTTACAGTACAAATTTACTACCTTAGCGCGTGTAATTTTTTTAGCACCATATGAAGAAGATTAAACAGAAAAAATTTAATAGTAACGAACAAGTCATAAAAGTCATTTAAAAAAAAACAACTTCAAAATCGTGCAGATGCCATTACAAATCGAGTTTGCTGATTTTATCATCAGATCTTGACTAAATATATATGGGACCACCCTTGAGATACCCCCTTGCCAGAGCTGGGAGTAACGAAACGAAAACGTTACTTTTTTAAATAATCGAAAAGTAACGGTAATGGCGTTACTTTTTCAAAGTAACATAAAATCGTTACAGTAACGCGTTACTTCAAAAGTAACGCGTTACTTTTAAGTAACACGTTCCTCTTAAGTAACGCGTTACTGCAAAAGTAAGGCGTTACTTCTTATACAGAAATTTAGAGATTAAATCTCCGTCTGATATGTTAAAGGAGGCAGACATTGAATATCTTTAAGAATATTGTAACATACTCAAACCAGTCGCTCAAGCCATAGATATTTAACAAAGAGAATCTAATGTTATTATAGATACTTGCTGCCTTATGTCTGAAACTTAAACATTTAAAAACCAAAAAGTTCTTGAAATATATGTTACCAATATTAGATGAATGTATAAAATCTATTCATTCCCGATTTTCAGACTTCCTAGAATTCTCGGATAAGGCATATAATGTAGTAATTGCTACTGCAACAAACCCTATCTTTAAACTAAAATGGCTTAAATCAGTTGGTGAATTGGGTAAAGAATACACAGTTAAACAGAATATTGTAAATGAAGCTAACGCGCTATTGGAAATTAATCAATCGACAGTATTACCTATAAAAGAGAATATAAAGACATAAACTTTTTTGAATTTCTGGACGAGGAAGACAACTGTGTCACGGAAAAGGGCAGACTCATAGAATTACAAGTTCTACAATTTTTGCAGGATCCCGATATTAATTTGTCTATGTTAAAAAAGTATCCATACGTACAAAATGTTTTTATTAAATTTAATACTCCTTTACCTTCTTCAGTTCCAGTTGAACGTCTATTTTCGTATGCCACCTTTGTAAATGCGCCTAGAAGACATGCTTTTTATCTGATGAAAATTTTGAAAGCTAATTCTTTTGAAATGTAATAATAAAAATAATTAATAATTTAATTATGACGATGAGGGTTGAGGTACTGAAAAGGTAATAAGTTATCAAATAAAATTAAAAATGTTATATTTTAAATGTACCTAATTTCTTTAGGGCCGATTCCACCGTTGTGTTAAACGGATATTAAAATGACATTGTTAATGTAAAAATGTCATTTTAAACTTCGTTTAACACACGGTGCAATCGGTCCTTAGTGTTTGTACTTTAGTATTATAATTTTAACCAGTTTTATTAAATTTATTATTTAGAAAAACACAAAATTTTAAACTTACGCTTTATTCCATCGTCCAATGAACAGATTAGTTTTTGGACAGAGTCGGAACATCTGGGGGGGTACTTTATGGGTGGTCATTTTTATATTTTATGGAATATATCTGTTATTTACGTTTGGAGAAGAAAATTCTTTAAATAAAAGTTACTTCTAATATTATTATCTATAATTTTTGTTCTATACGAAATTTTCCTAAAACGGTCCGTATTCAAGAAATTTAACAAAATGAAAAAAAAATATTTTTTTATAAAAATTGTTCAAATAAAAGTTGTTTGTAATATAATTCTCTATAATTTTTATTCTATACATAATTTCTCTAAAATGGACCGTGTTCGAGATATTTGAAAAAATGTGTAAATTTCGAATTTTGAAGAAAACTCAAAAACAGATAAAGAAAAAACATTAAATTTTAAACTTAAGTTTTATTTCGGCCTAACGTGAAATGATTATATTTTGGACTAAGTTGGAACATCTAGGGGGGTACTTTATGGGAGGCAGTTTTTATATTTTATGGAATGTCTGTTATTTGTTTGGAGAAGAAAATTGTTCAAATAAAAGTTATTTCTAATATTATTATCTATAATTTTTGCTTTATGTAAAAATTTCCTGAAATGGTCCGTATTCGAGAAATTTGACAAAATGTGCAAAATTCTGAATTTTATGAAAATTATTGAACTAAAAGTTATTTGCGATATCGATCTCTATAATTTTTGTTTATATATGGTTTTTCTAAAATGGACCGTAATGGAAAAATTGGAGGAAGAGTGCTAAATTTAAATTTTTCAGTATTTTCGTTTTCAATGAATATAGAAAAATGTTTCGAGGAATATGTATATATTTAGTTTATCCTCTAAATATTTATAGAGGTGCTGCAATAGGTTGTACAAAATAAGCGGAAAAAGCCTATAATAACTAGATAGGAAAGTCATGTGTTGGACACATCAGATTTTTTTAGTAATGGTCCCAGGTCTGCCCCTTGCTAACAAAAAGAATTATCATTGAACATACAATTTCTTCGACGCCATTAATAGATTTGGACCAAATTAGTATTATGGGACCATCCCTAAGGTACCCCCTTTCTAATAATAAAAATTGAATATTGTAGAAAATTATCCCTGAACATACATGAAAAAAAAATATATTCTGACCTAACCTCCTCCTTTTTTGAAGCCTGTTAAAAAAGTTCTTAAATTAATTGTTCAGGTATCATTATAATCATTTTAAAAAATGAATACATTTGCGGTTTGAAATTAAAGGTCTTTTATCTGATAATATTTTTAATGACTATGTTCAATTATGAAATTACTATTTACAAACAAAAAAATAAATATATCAATTTTATTAGATTTATAATTATAATTTTTTAAGATGATCCTTCTTAGTTTTGTTTTTCACATTATGAGGAAGATAAACACCATGACCTGTTTTTTTTAGATGATCAAACAATTTATTTTTGGAAGGAAAATTTGATTTGCAGGTTACACAATTATGGTCTGTATCTACTTCTTGGATCTCGTTATTACTGGTAGGCTTTTCTTTTTTCTTTTTTTTATCTTTCTTCTTTTTAACATTTGAATTTTCCAATTCTTCTATATTCAATTCAATTTTTTTATTAGTTTCATTGAGATCATTGTTTTTAGTTTTTGGGCACTTTTTATTTTTCTTTTTTTCTTTTTTACTTGTAGAAAAGTCAAAATTGTCATCAGAGGGAATCTCTAAATGAATAGGTTTATCTTCTTCTGGTTCTGTTGATGCAATAAGACATTGCCTTTTTTTCTTTTTTTTATTCTTTCCAATATCATCTACAGAGTCTGCATCTGATAATACTTCACTTGATTCATCGATCGATTCATCTAAAATATCACTGTTTTCTTCCAAATCCAAATACTCTGATTCAATTTCTTCTTCGAGCATAGCTTCCTTCAGTATCTCAATATTTTCTTTGTGCTTTTTACTGCTTTCATGATTTTCAAAGGCCTTAGGTGTTCTAAACAGTTTTGAACAAGCTACACAATATAAGTCATTAGTATCGTCTTCCTCATCTTCGTCCTCTTCAGAATTGGATAATTCTTCACCAAATTGCTCTGCTAAATTTTTTTCTATTTCTTTAAGTTCAGATTTAACATTATCAAATTTAGCCCACTCGGGCTGATCAGCTATATTTTTAAATTCTTCTTGTCTTTCTAATCTCTTCTGTTTACTTAATGATTCTCTTTTTTTCTTATCTTCCAACAATTTTTGTTCTTGAACCTTTTTCTGTGCTTGTACTCTTCTGTCTCGTTTTCTCACAAAAGCTACCAAGTTTCTAACTTCTTCATTTCGTTCTTTTTTTGCTTTTTGTCTTATTTTTTTATTTTCCTTCTCTACCATTTTTAGGTACCTTCTATCTCTAATATCTTTTATATCATAAGGATCTAACCAAACATATGATTTCTTTGTTGAATAATTAAGCCAATAAGCATAAAATTCTGAAACTTTTTCGTAGCTAGTTACCGAATTACCAAAACTTGGGATTTCACAAAATTCTTCCTTATCTTCCATAAAATCCATATCTTCTTTTGCCAATTTTTCAAAGACATTTCTATAAATACTGTAGAATCCATTTTCACCATCTTCGTATCCTTGGAAGCAAGTTGCAGTAAAATATTGAAATACATCAAGACTTTTATCCTCAAATTCCGAATTAGCACCCCTTAATATTTGTTCTCTGTGGTTGTCATACCATGCCCTTTCTTGTCTATCACTTAGTACTTCATATGCTTGTTGAACAATTTGAAACTGCTCTTTAGCATTCTCTGAATTTTCTAGATTCTTATCAGGATGCCACTTTAATGCTAATTTTCTATAAGCTGTCTTTATTTCAGATTCGTCTGCATCTCTAGACACTTCCAAAACTTCATAATGACACCTCATCTTTTAGGTTAGATGACTAAAATTTTTATATTAACTCTTTGGTAGTGTTTCAAAATTAAAATAAATTTTTCAAAATCAGAGCTGATTCTTTAATAAAATCAATGATTTAAGCTTGAACATAGCTTGAACAACGACTTGAACTTAAACTTATAGAGCATGTTGAAAGTTGAAATTGAAAACATGGAGGAAGGATGATAGAGTTTAGAGACATTAGAGTTGCAGATTCCACCAGTGTTGCCAGAACTGTTTGATAAAAAGTAACAGATTGATGGTAAAAGGTAATAGATTTCAGAGAATAGTAAAAATGACTACGTTTATTTTCATTTGGATTTTCGAGACGATTTTCGCATTTATTTCCGGATTTTGACTATTTTATCCTGTTTTTATCCGGATAACGTGTATGAAATAAACGTGGTCAATAAAACAGTGAGAGAAATAAAAAATATGCTGATACATTCACCATATTTTATTTTTGAATGATTTGAACTTCACTATTGTTTTAGAGTTAATGTTAATAGTTTAGGGCCCTATTCAGTAATTTATCGTTTATGGACGACATCGTTAAGCTAACGACAGTTCAACAAACGACTTTTATAACTATAATTTTTGAAACTCTATTCAATAACAAAGTCGTTACGTTGTTTCTATTAGTTACCAAATCTGAACGATGGTTTCTAGTATGTTGTAATGTCTTTGGTTTCTAGTAGGTTGGTATTATAATTTAGTGTTTTGTGATCACATATACTTTGATTTTCTTTTACTATACGGAGAATGTTCGCGCTGCGCAGCTTTCTGAGTGCCTTTTAAAAGGAGATAGAGAACTCCGCCATTTTGAACCCTTATTACGTGTTGCCTACATCTTGGCGCACTATTTTTAATAGGTGCGTTTTAATCATCCGCTTCTGCTTCGGAATTGTCGGTTTTCTTGGTTTAATCTGACAGGTTAAAACGACTAAACCGACAATTCCGGAAGCAGAAGCGGATGATTAAAACGCACCTGATATTTTGCTTGCTGCTGTCAGTGTCAGTGAATATTATTTTTGAAGTCACAGTTTATTGCTAAAGAATCAGTTAGCTCACTTGGACCAGTTAAAAGTTCCAAAATAACATCCACTCCAGGGATACAAATTCAGGATACGCAGAAGACTGCTGTTTTATTATAGGCGGTTGTCATATATTGTATTATCCGAGTTGCACAGTGTATAAACTGAAACATTGAGATCCAAAGTGCCGACGCAGAGTGAGCGATCTGATTCTATACCTGTAAACTGTGTCACAGGGTTCAAAATGGCCGCGCCCTATGTTGGGCGTGTCGGACCTCTCTCTTGCCTCGTATAGTAATCAAAGTATGTGCATCTGATTCTTTAGCTATAAACTGTGTCATAGGAATCAAAATGGCCGCGCCCTATGTTGGGCGTGTCGACTCTCTCTCTCTCTAGGCCCGTATAGTATGTGGCATTCTCAAACGCGGCATTAATTTCTCAAAGTTTGAAGTTTTGACGAGCTGACAACTGACATGACATTTCGATACGAGCGCCATCCCGTTAATTGGAGTGGTACTAAATTACCAACCTCATATTTTTCCATTGAGTTACCAGCCCCCACATAGGTACTTTGATTACTATGCGAGGCAAGAGAGAGGTCCGACACGCCCAACATAGGGCGCGGCCATTTTGAACCCTGTGACACAGTTTACAGCTAAAGGATCAGATCGCTCACTCTGCGTCGGCACTTTTGATCTCAATGTTTCAGTTTATACACTGTGCAACTCGGATAATACAATATATGACAACCGCCTACAATAAAACAGCAGTCTTCTGCGTATCCTGAATTTGTATCCCTGGAGTGGATGTTATTTTGGAACTTTCAACTGGTCCGAGTGAGCTAACTGATTCGTTAGCAATAAACTGTGACTTCAAAAATAATTAGGCATTCCAACGACCTGTCAAACAATAGGTGCCAGTGGGAAATTCTTGTATATCTAAGGGGGGTAGCGACATAATCTTGCAACTTGGACGCTATTTTTATTCGAAGTAGTACTCGCCAAGCCTGCCAATTTATGAAGAAATGTATAGGTGGGTTTTTTAAATATTATTTTTATTGTGTTTGACATAAAATATTTAAATGTAATCCATTATTCATGATTTTACGTAAAGTAGATAGAATACACCATATGTCGCCACCCTTAGATATACCAAACCTGCCCACTGGTAATTCATTTGTTTGGAATGCCTAATATTCACTGACACTGACAGCAGCAAGCAAAATAAAAATATTGCGCCAAGATGTAGGCAACACGTAATAAGGGTTCAAAATGGCGGAGTTTTCTATCTCCTTTTAAAAGGCACTCAGAAATCTGCGCAGTGCGACCATTCTCCGTATAGTAAAAGAAAATCAAAGTATGTGCCAGCCCCTGATAAAATCGTAAGCATGGAATGTGTTACCGTTGTATGTGTTACTACGAATATCGCCTGGGGCTCGATTCTCGAGTTCATTGGAAAATTTTCCCATGGGAAAAGATTCCACTACTTATATTCCCATGGTAATAGGTTATGCAATTCTCGAACTTGTCGGAATAGACATTCCCATGGAAATAATAGTTTCACGTATGTCTGATATTAAGTTCACGAATATTTCGAAATAACCAATAACATTAAAGATTTTACTGTTGGTATTATTTGTATTTGTTGTGGTTTTTGGGTAACCGATTACCTGCCGAGCCTCTGCGTTGGAGCAGATGCCGTGCCGAGCCATCGCTAGCTTGACCGAGGACAAGTGAAAATATTCGATTATGTATAATTAAAACTTATCGAGTTATTTTTAGTTTTTCTTTTCACATATTGAAAAAAGAAAAAGTAGCTTTTGTATAGAAGAGCAACGAAAGTTTCGAGAAACTATATAAGAAATTCTTTCGTTAACGGAAATAATAAAATTTTCGAACAAGTCTTATTAAATTTACTACAAATTTCTCAATTTGTGTTACCTATTTGCCAGTCCCTTAGCAGCTCCCACAATTTCTAACTAATTTAAGAAAATCAGTTTCTTAGTGAAAGAGAGGTAAAAATAATATACCCACATAAATAAAATAATATCAATTTATAAATACACAAAAAATGTTTTAACTACAATTTCACCAAAAATTCAAGATATCCAATAATCTTTGGTTATGTCTTAGTCTTTCGCGTGGTCTTTCGTCAAATTTTCGACTTTAATGCGCAAACTCTAGTACAATTCCCATTGGAAAACACAATTTCCAATGCTCGTAAGCAGGGGAATATTTTCCCATACTTCTCATTGGAAAATATTCCACCGCTTATGCCGAGAATACGAAAACTGAATTCCCATGGGAAAATTTTATTTTCCCATGGGAATAAAAGTCGAGAATCGACCCCCTGGGGGTCAATTCTCGACTTGTAGGAACCTTTTCCTATAGGAATTTGTAACACTTTCCTATATGTAGGAAAATGTCATAAATTTTCGATGTATATAAAAATGTCAAAAATTCCTATAGGAAAATATTCCTACGAGTCGAGAATCGACCCCCTGGGGGGGTATTTTCAAAGCATGGGAGCACTCATTTCTCTCAAGATTCTCATCAGAAATGTCATACGTCAATGTGGAAATGTTGTTCTTAAAGGCATCGAGGATTAAAATTCTTAGGAAGATTTTAATTCTCTCTAAATAAACCGAAAGAAACAGTCAGTGAGTTCACACTGGCCCTAAAAGCCCTAAAAGCCCTAAAAATACGGTTTTACGTTGACGAATGACATTTCTCTTGAGAGAAATGAATTAGGCATTCCAAACAAATGAATTACCAGTGGGCAGGTTTGGTATATCTAAGGGTGGCGACATATGGTGTATTCTATCTACTTTACGTAAAATCATGAATAATGGATTACATTTAAATATTTTATGTCAAACACAATAAAAATAATATTTAAAAAACCCATCTATACATTTCTTCATAAATTGGCAGGCTAGGCGAGTACTACTTCGAATAAAAATAGCGTCCAAGTTGCAAGACTATGTCGCTACCCCCTTAAATATACAAGAATTTCCCACTGGCACCTATTGTTTGACAGGTCGTTGGAATGCCTAATTCTCTCGAGTTTGAAAATAGCCCCCCTGCTGTCAAATCCACCAGTCCCACAGGGTTGCCATATATCAATACCCACGGGTAACAATTTTGTTTGGAATGCCTATCGTTTTATATCACAGGAGGTAGCACATGATTTATATATTTTTAAAAATAAGCTATTTTTAAATTCTTTATGATTTTTTTAAATAACAATTTTTAGCTATATTTTTTCAATGTCCTTGAACGAGACGTAATCGATAGAAATCTTTGGAAAGGTGATGGCAACGTCAAACCGTCAAACTGTCAAATGATTAACAGCTGATTACAAGTAAAATGGCGAATCACATTATGTTTAATAATTTGAAGAAAATAATATTTTAAGAGAAATCCGTCCTCAGTGAGCTCGAATTTACCAGGTAGACTTTCTTAACAATAACCAAAAACATAATTTTGTTTTTACTAGAAGATTAAGATAATTTGGCAAAACTTTTGATGTCAATGTTATTTCGCCAGTAAACTACTTTTATTGCTTTTATATTTATTACTTTTCATTAAATCAAACGCAATTATTCTAACACGGGAAAATATTGTCATGTGATCACAACATGTATAGCAAGGCATTAATTGAAGTCAATTATTTTATTATTTGGTTTCGGAATTGGGCATATAATCCTTTGGAAATGACTAATTATTGTTTTTTTTTTGTAGATATCAAAATGCCTGGGACTAGTCTGGTTGTACCTGTGGTACTCTGGGGCAAGCATGCTCCAACACATTGTATATCATGCATTTATCTGTCAAAAGACTTGAAAACTTTGGCCACTGGATGTTATGATGGACAAATATGTCTTTGGTAAGTTATCTATTTAACATGGGATTGTTTCTTTGAATTAATAAAACTTAAATTACTTAGGTATTTATGAAAAATTGTTAAGAAAGTTTTTAAATTCCAATCATTTTATCATTGATTACATTTGTATTGTTTTTGACATTAACTAAATACAGGGTGTCCCAATGAAAAGTAGCCCATTTCCAGAGCTTATAACTTTTAAACAAATCGTAGAAACGTGCGGTTTTTGCTGATATGTGTTATTTTGCTATAAGTTTTGCTTCAGTGACACAGAAATTATGTATTACCTATAGAGGGTGTTTTTTAAAAATCTCTTAAATTCATCGTAACCAAATTTTATCATATGGAAACGGGCTACTTTTCATTGGGATACCCTGTATTACATACATTAGAATACTACCTAATGATTGGAAAATTAATTGAAACAGGATGGTAAATTTACCTTTTTTACCATTTGGCAACAATGTATAAGTTTATTTATGTGTAAGTTTTACATGATATAATAAGTAAACATACACATCATAAGTAAATGCAGGTGTATAAATCTCTTTCTTTAAGTTTATTAGTTATCACTTTGTATTTGATTTCAAGGTGGTAATTTATAGTTTTTTCTTTTAAATAATTTTACATATTTAGCAGGTTGATTGAGCAGTTGTATACACCAGCTTGGTTGTTTTTTTAATTATTAATATTATTTTTAGTGGTGTGGGGAACATCCTATCACTAAAAATCATTTGTGTGTGAGAATGTTCCCCAGGGAGCACATTCAGCATGAACGAGAATTTTCAGCACGACCTTGGCCAATCAGCATGCTTCATCCACATCATTGCATGACTGCTGCTGTGGTAGTAAACTAACTTTTTTTTATTTTGGTATTTTATTTAGTTGTCACGTTTTGATTCATTGTGTAAAGGTCAGTACATATGGTTAGATTAAATTAGTGTTCAATTTATTCAAAGAAAAAGACAAATGCAATTTTGGTAAACAACCAACTAGTTTAATTTTTATTATTTTTTATTAATTTTGTATGAATTTTTGTTAATTTTTATTGTTTTATTAATTTTTATTAATTAATTTTGATTAATTTCTTTAACTTTTATTACTTTTTATTAATTTTTATTAATTTATATTAATTTTTATTTTTTTTGTTATTTTTAATTTTTTATTAATCTTTTTAATTATTAATTTTTATTTATTTTTATTAATTTTATTTGTTTTTATTTTTTTTATTTATTATTTAGTTTTATGATACTCTCAATTTCCCCCCTCTCCTAAAAATTTGATTATCCAAAAACCTTGAAATACGTCATTATTTACTAATTCCAATTTTCAGATTTCTCCAATTAAGAACCGAAAGTCTTATTCAAACTTTCACCTTCCGTTTTCTCCCTTAATATGTAAAATCCAAATATTTTGAAATATGTCTATTTATTTATGAAGAGTACCTACAATTCCAATTTTCAAGTTCCTACTATACAAACTTTCACTCCCCATACATTTCCCCCATTTTCATTATTTCCCTCATTTCCTCTCTTACCCCCTTTTTCTCTTTCCCCTCTTAAAATATGAAAATCCAAAAACCTGAAACACACCATTATTTATTTGTGATGAGTAGCTATAATTCCAATTTTTAAGTTCCAACCTATAAAATATCGATGCTTCAATGCAATCTTTTAACCCCCCCCCCCCCCCCCCTTAAAATGTGAAAAACCAGAAACCCTGAAACACGTCATTATTCATTTATGCTCAGTAGCAGTATTTCAAATTTTCATGTTTCACTATGACTATGTATAAAAATTATGTCCGATCCTTTGCTCTGTGAAAAACAAAAACAAATCGATCCCACGGGAACCGTACATTTTTTTCGGGATAAAAAGTAGCCTTTGTGCTATTCCAGGCTATAATCTATATTTGTGCCAAATTTCATCCAGATCCATTCGGCCGTTCCTGCGTGATTGAGCAACAAACATACATACATCCATCCATCCAAACTTTCACGTTTAAATATTTATATGATTATATATAAGATAAAATCATATAAAATGTACCTTCTCAATATAAACTCATTAGAATTCATTAAAAACCGTTTTAAAACATACATTATAAACTTAGGAAGGGAAAATGTTCACCACTAATAATTATTTTTTTTTTATTTTGGCTTGTTATAATGTTCTGTTTTTTTTTATTGTTACTTTTTCTATTTTTTAATAAAATACATGTTGAAATAGCTAGAATAATTTTATGTATAAAAATAATTGTCAACACACTCAAATATTATAATATATTCCTCCATGCACAGCTTCTTTGGCTTTTATGGATGAACTCGCACACACATTTATTCTGTTGCTGTTATTATTCTTATTAAATTTATATTACTTATTCTTATAATGTCTAATTTTTGTATGTATTAATTTGTCTATTTTCTGAATAAACTATTATTATTATTATAAATATATATATTACTTGGGACGATAATGTAAAAATTGGCATTTATATGTAAATCAATTAATTATCTCAAACAAAACACTTTAAAAATAAATTGAAGATATTTATCTATTTGTTTACTACAAATCACTGCACAAAACTTTACTATGCACATTTTGGGAGTTAGGGTCCCATAACGAGAGTCTCGCTTTTCGGTAAGAGTTTTGGACCTCAGTCCTCACTCGAGTCTTTTCTCTTTCTGTCTAGTCTTTCTATTTAATTCCAAAATTTCTGTGACATTTGTACTTGTTAGAATGTCAACGTTCTACCTTGAATTATCTAGTTCAATGTAAGCCATTGACTAAAGTGTTTGGTTCCAAACTCTTTGGTCCCAAATACTTAGTTTTAGTTGATATTTATTGTATTCCCTTATAGACTCCTTACGGTTTACTAGGTTACACTTTCTTTATATAATAAAAAAACATAGTAGGAAAAAGATGTCACAAAAAAGTCATTGAAACATCACATCTAATAAAAAGTAATTTCACGCATTCCATTGCATTTTTAAGCATCTGTATTAAACTCTCAAGTTCTGTTAATTTGTTCACGTTTGTAAATATATTTCACGTTTGTAAATATATGTTTGGAAGAAATCCTGGTCCTTCGTTTTTTTTATTAAGAAACAACTAACTCTACCTGTGCTACAGTCGCTAAACCCCACGTGTGCGAGGAAAGGCGAGTGCCACCCGTTCATAAAGTTAATAACCTAATTATTGATTTGATTGCAATACGTGTGTTTTCTTTTGAATATTAATTTAAAGCATTAAAAATACTTTTTTAAAATTTTTGGTAAATTCTTTGTTTTCAAATAATAATGCTAAAGTGAAAACAAATCAAAGAAAAATTGACAAAGTTGAGAATTAAAGAAAAGAAAAACTGTTTGCGTCGACCAGGGTTTGAACCTGATACCTTCCAACTAGAATCGTCGGCGCATCTACCAGTTGGGCCACATTGCTGCGGCAGTCAAACTCGTTGAAATCAATCGGATTCCGATTCTCGTCAGCTTTTTCAACTTTGCTTTGGTTTGTTTTCACTTTTTCATAATTTCGTAGAGGGAATTGAGGGTTATATATTTTCATATTTCTAAAATGGCATCTCAATTTTTTTGGATCTCCACCGATTTTTTCCAATTTTCTTCATTTTACTAAATTTTTTTCAAATTTTTAACTAATAAATATTTTTTTAAGTTTTTAAATTAATACTTTACCACACATACATTGTTTGAGGTTTTTCATTTACGCTTTTTACTTCTCGTTCATGCTCAGGGAAACATACTCCAAAAATATGTGCATGAGAATCTTACATCACTAATTATTTTATGAAGCGATCCTGGTAACTGACATTGATAACATAGGCTTGTATGCCACAGCGTTATATACTGTGGTGAAAGCCGATCTATTCACGACCTCTGGCAAAAAAATACGAATATTTGGTCGAGTATTGAGTGGTGGTCAACAGTCGTCTACGACTGCCATGGCAAAATAACCAAGTGTGCATATTAGACCGCCGAGGTAGTCAACCTGTTGAATATGTAAAAGACTATTGATTTAAAAATTATTTTTCACATCTAAGTTTTTTACTCATTTTTGTTGATAAAGTAGTTAATTTATACACTTAAATTTTTCTAAAATATAATTATCTTTAAGTACTTCTATTGAAGTGGTTTCATCAATTTTTATTTATTTATTGAACAACATACGTGAAATCTCCATTACAATAAAAAAAGCAAAAATCATTTAAAAGATACATTAGTTTGCTAGTTTCATATTAAAAACATATAAACACCAACACTTAAAAGTCAGTCAAATGACAAGTATTAAGTAATAATATTTTATTGATTTATAAATTACCTACTTATTGGTAGTGATTAGGGGACCAAGGCGATTTTTTCACACTTTTTACACATTGAAGCTTTATAGGTTAGAATAACACCAATGTTTTATTTATTAAAATAATATGAGTACTAATTTTATTAACTAATAACATTAGGTCTGTTCCAACAACGATCAGAAACCAAATAGTAAACAATCCAATAATAATAATAATAATATTGGGTGAGTCCTTTGATATTCAAAGGGTGAGTCATAAATGTGCAATAAAAAAAGTAGCGGTCAACAAGATGACAATCTGAAGTATTTTTCTTAACCACCACACTTTGACATCTGTTTGAAACCATATTTTTCCAATTTACTTAATCTGTGATTTACAGAGTCAAACGCCTTAGATAAATCGCAGAATACCGCTGCAGCAACTGATTGTTCCTGGACTGTCGATCTATCAGTTAGCTCATGATATCTGTTAGAACTTCACGGTTTTAATATTTTATCCATTTTCACCTTGAGTTTTTTTAAATCATCTTTTAGGACACCTAGTTCTGTTTCAAGCTTTTCAACTCTTTCTTCATATTTTTTGAACAGTTTTTCATGTTCCTGTTGAATGAGAGCCTTGTAATTTTGAATCCAAGTAGTTCTTTATTTTCTCAAAAAGTCCATCTTCATCGTTGTTGTCAATTTTTGAAG